TCGTGTGAAAACTCTAGGTCCTCTATTTTGGGCAATGAGGAGGAGGGTAAGGATGCAGTTATCAGTCGATGAGCGGGCGTACCGTCAGCAAGAGTTGTAGGTTCTCGGGTGCAGACGGATTCAAAGAAATCGGAGAGGAGGGAGGCTTTCATCTGGTCTTCGGTCATCTGCTGATCTTAGCGCGGGGATCAGTTCCTGAGATCTCTTCGTGCTTCGTATATAGCCATACTATCTTGGGATGTTCTAATGACTTGTGTAATATGTTCAACTCGTATTTCTTGCGCAATTTAGTGGATTCGCTTTTACAAATGTTACGTTGTTGCTTATACTCCCGTAAGTGTTTATTCGGACCGTTAGTCTGTAACGCCTCCAGAAGCGGTTTATTTTTGAAAGCGGCCTGCAAGTTTGAGTTTATCCACTTCGGGCGATTTGTACCTTGTCTTTCTTCTGAGGGGATGGTTGAGACAAACAGTTCTTTTCAGCCTCGAGCTAAAGGTTATCCACTGTTCGTGTGGAGTATCATTTGACAAAGGCCTGAATATGTTTTTAGAGTTCGAGGATCATTTTCCGGTATGCTAGTTTTTATAGATAGGCAACTTCCAGATTTTCGGCATACATGAAGGGCCTATCATTCCGAAATAAATGAGGAGCATCACTGAAAAAAGGTAAATAAGAGAGGGTAGAACAGCCTGCCCTGAATATCTTCATTCTCCATGTGTGGGTTGGAGAGGAAACTATAATTTTTAACTAATTGTGTGCGAGCTCTGATGTGGGAGAACAACAAATTCAAATGCTTGTCACCTATGCTGGCTGAGTCTTCCCTATACTCTACGCCTTTAGATTGTTTATGGACAGTTCTTCCTTTAATAACGCTTAAGCACACGCTTGAAGAGGATCTCAGTTATGCTTAACTTTGCCCCTCCTAATTATTAACACCCGTTCTGGGATTCCTTTATAGCAACATTTAGCTCTCAGCTGAACCTGGCACCTGCTATATTCTCATATCACTCGACCGTCCAGTTCACATGTTCTGACGGTTTCAGAGGAACCGACTATCAGGCCGACTGAACCGAATCCACGAACAATTTCATACTTTCCGACTTCTTCTTTGAATTTTGGAACTTGACAAGCTATTCAACATCGTCTTTTAGTGCAAAATCCAGCAATGATGCGGCGCTGTGCCATATATACAGACCATTGCGAATGAATTAGTCGAGATTGGACAAATCTACTTCGTGTTTCTGGGACATGGCCTGGAAGCCACGGTTAAATTTAAAACAATGAAGCTGAATGACACACTAATAAAGGGGCCCCCTTGGGCCTTAAATATGCAATTTATTTATTGATGTTGCTCGGTCGATGGCTTCTGAAAAGCTGATGATCCCCGGAGTTGTAAATCGGCCTAATAGAGTGGTAATGAAGCCCGTTTTTCATCAATAAATTGTGTCCGATCTAATTTTGTTGATTAAATATCGAAGTTGTTGAATTTATCAAACAAGCTTTATATGTTTGTGTACAGGACCGTAAGGTTTGGCCTTGGGGTTTCATTCGCGGTAAATATTTCCTTGGGTCGCTACTTGCTGTAATATTTAAAGCTTACTCACTCAGTCTTCTACAAATACGTCTACCTTTATCGTTCGCTCATTTACCTAGTGTTTTAAACCATTGTCAAACAAATTCGTCGTCACTAGTTTTTTCCCTTCCTGAAGGTATGCGCCTATCATCCCTTCAGTATTCATGGTAATAACCATAACGGATGGCTGGTCTATTCAACTTAGTAAACTAATTCCGGAATGCATCAAATTATTCAGTAGCCAACGAGATTCGAGGTAATTTGTACTCACTTCTCAAATACTTATGCTTTGACCGAGTAATTTTTAGCGTCACATTTTGATTGATACCAAAGCAAAATATATTCGAGAAAATGGCTCCTGCGTGGTAAAGAAACAGGCAACGTAAAAGTTCCCACCATTGACGAGTTTGAAATATCTGAGAGAGGTAACTCCGTAAATTCCCTTGTTTATCTGCGCCAAGAAGTTGGACATTTGTGAACTGCGCGCGAGAGCGTCCCTGTTTTCCGTTCTTTCAGACTATCTGTTGCTTTGGACGTTTGCCTCCGTGGTTGGCCTGCGGTATGTCATCCGCTGTTGTTCCCGATGAAGGCATTAACAATGTGTCAGGACCATCCGCTACCATCGAATTTGATGAACTATTTGACGTCCCAGATTCAATTCCGCCAAAGGAAGTAGACGCAAGCGCCAGTGAAAGTAAAGGGGAGATGACCTCCGACGACCATACTCAGTTGGAGCTCGATGTTGATCAGCCTATCCCCCAAAATGATTCCGTTGCCAAAACAAAAGAGTCAGAAAAGGAAACTACCAAGTGCATCTCCCCCATTCAGTGGGATTTACTCAGTGATGGTGAGCAGTTGCAAGACACCGTACACGTCGATGCTCCGGAAGACGAATTTTCTAGAGAGGAGGAGGAAGAAGAAACTCGACCGAAAAGCATACCCGATGCCAGTGTCGAGAGTTTTCCCCAGGATTCCCTGAATAATACGATGAATCACGATTTGCCAGAAGACCTTCGTCGCATTTTCGTGAACACTCGATATTTCCTCATAAAGAGCAACAATCACGAAAATGTTGACATTGCGAAGAAAAAAAATGCTTGGGCGACTCCGACTGCAAACGAAAGCCGCCTAAACAAGGCTTTCTTTGATTTTGACAACGTTATACTCATATTCTCTGTGCGAGAAAGTGGCAGATTTCAGGGATACGCGCGGCTTTCATCACCCTCGGACCCACGAATGCATATTAGTTGGGTGTTGCCGCCGCGTATGTCCTCTAATTTATTAAGCAGTCCATTTAAACTTGATTGGATCAGCAAGTAAGTTTTATCACTTTTGTTCATTTGATGTTCAGACAAGAGCTTCCATTCCCCAAAACGGTTCATCTTAACAATGCCTGGAATGAAAACAAGCCTGTTAAGATCGGTCGCGACGGTCAAGTAACTTTTGGAGAACCCTTTTAACTTTCACATTTAGGAAATCGAGCCGATCTGCGGCGAGGCACTCTGTCGCCTGTTCCAGGTCGACAAGCCGTCGAAACTTCCGGATATCTTATCGAAGATCGAAAGCCGCAAACCCTGTGGAGACTCTCACAGACGCAACGCCTTTGAACGACTCGGTGTATCCGATAACTCCAGACTGCATGGCGCAGGGCCCAGACGGATGCGTGATTTTGGTTTCCAGAACTCGAACTCAGTTGGCCTTCTAGGCGCAGCCACTGGCTCTCGCTATCAGACTGGGAACCGACGTTCTATCCTCCCGGGCACTGGTTTCCCTGGCAACAGCACTAAATCTGGTGCCTCTGCAACGCCACTCATGCAGGTGAATGCGACTGCTGCTGCAATGGCTGCCGCCGCTGCAATGGCGGCCATGACAAATCCATCTTCGGTGCGAGGACCCATGGACTCTACGCGCTTGTCTGCCATGGACTTCCCTTTCTTCATGGCGTCTAATTCTCAGTTATTGCCTCAGCTTCTTCCGCAGTCTGCAGCGATGCAAGGAACATTCGAACGACTGCCTATTGCGGGCAATTCGTCAGTCTCCTCCCGTCTCGGACTACAGACCGGAATGCCGGGACCTACGCTCGGCAGGATGCCCTCCAACTCAGCTTTGGAGGCGTTTAATATGGAGCCCCAAGAATCCTCTCAACGGCGGTCCAGGGCATATCCTCGCCGAAACGATCGTCGCGGTCGAAGCCGTTCATCAAGCTATGCTAGTGATGTTAAAGGACACAGGAGTTCGAGTTCCAATGGTTATCGTTCTGGCTCATACCGTGACCGTGAATCCTATCGTCGCCCATCTCGAACGAGGTTAGGTGGCGGTGCTGGTTCCTTGGCTGTCGTGGTTCATGATTTTATTTCTTTATTCGCGAACAATGAATTAGATCTCCTTTGGATTAAACTCCTTTGGGGTTCTTCCAGTAGCCACACGCACGCATACCATGCCTCTACTATAACACTAACTGAACTATCCCCTAGGATGTCAGATCGTATACGAGATAGCATCTGTTTTGTTTATCGATTTCCTATCTCTATGGATTGCTACATTTGCACTGTATCTTGCCTATTGATATTTTGCTTGACTGTCGGTTTTAAGGGATTTGTTTTATTAGCATTTTTATTTGTACATGTGAATCAGAAGTCGTGCTGTCATCACCGACCTTGTTTTGCACGGCTTCGTTCGACACCACATAACTTTCTCAAATGGGGCGCCGGGGCTGAAGTCTGTGACAACAGATAACGAATGCCTAATCATTTTTTCCTTTTCACGTCAAAATTTTGGAATCAAGGAGCAGGGTGTCTCGCGAACGCTCCCCACCTCGTCACCAGTCTGCCTGTAAGTACTTATTTCCCATTCATTTGCATAAAAAAGGCCGAAATCTTACTACCTGACTTGTTTTTCGCCTCGACCATTTCCTTCAGCACTAGTCTCGGTCTTCATCATGTCTTGAGTTTTTGATGCCTCTGCTTCATAGTCCTCTTTTGTCAGGCAGTAGGAACGCCTTCATTCTATCCATCCCAACGTATCGCGGTTTTAAAAATTTCGAAAGCTAATTTGTTTAACGAATCAACCTCGGTCATGTGAAATGTTTAAAATACGAACTACACTGAAGGCTAATAGACATTATTAGGAGGTGGATGCTTAAGGCAACGAAGGTCATGCCCTCCGCAAACGTTAACTTTGTCCACAACTCAAGTTTCCATTTTGGTCTAGCAGTGCATCACTTCTTCGAGAGTTGGAGCGACCATCAACGCCGCTTGCTATCAGCCCTCATAACTCTAGACTTCTGTTCCGCCCTTGATCGACGTTTCCAGTCAGTGTTATCTAAAGCAAACCCACTTGACCCTGGTTAAAATCTTAAGGCTTCTCGTGTTTGGGCACCAGTGCTTATTTACCGACGTCACAGAAATCAGAAATGGTTATTCCGGTCTCCTGTTTTACGGCATTCTTTCTCAACTGTATACCGAATTGATGTCGTTGCAACGAGTGCAACTACTTCTGAAGATGGAACAAGATTTCGCATGATAGTTTTTGACATTTCATAATCACATAATAGTACTTCATTTTCGCGTTGTGATATCTTAGTGGCCTCACCTATATACGCCTTCTGGTGCATTAGCAAGCCATTTTAGAGTACCCCGCGATTAACCCCTCCTTTTTGCGGTTTCATCCTCCGTGTTTACATAGAATGTGTTTTATGTTTCCCTCCTTTGTACCTTTACTTCCCGCGCGCCACCTTACTTTCTTGTTGTATGTCGGTGGTTCATTGGCCCCAAGGCTTCCCCGTAACTGACGCATATCATGTTCTTGTTGGACTGGTACTGTGTTACTACTTAGGTTACACGGAAATCAGCACTGCTATTATCACTGTTACACATTTAAAAGAAAACTAAGACTTAACCTCTAAGGGCAGTTGCCAGACACACTAGAACATATCAGACTATATCAGAGATTATTCCAGCTTCTCCAATTCTAGCCGATTTTGAAGACAGCTTTCGAAACGGACAAACGGATCTTATTGATCGATGGATCTATGCTAAGTCTGGGGCTGGTGATATCTTCGTGGTTTCGGCGCGTCTGTTTGTCAGTTAAACAGCCAGTTAACGCCAAAGAGGAGCAGTCATCCAATTGTAGAACCCTCTTTGGGTCTCTAGATATTTGGTGTTATCTCAGGCACCGTAGTACGACTAAGCTCCCAGAAGCATCCTGCCACAAATAGCTCCCACAGAATTACTTAACATCCGCTAGCGATGCGACGCGTCTCATACTGCCTAGCGTTTACTGTCAGTGCTAGAAGACCGCCGTAATGCGTGTATGATTGGTTTGGTCGTTAGACTCACCGACTCCAATTAGGCAGATTTTTCCGCAAGCAAGGAGCACGGGCCATATCAAACACAGTACGTGCACATAGATTAGGAGAGCAGTAGCCGCGACCACTTGTGAATTCCGTGCACTACCACCTGGAAGTCATTTCACGCCCTCTTGCTATTTTGCTCCGCTGTCTCCATGCTTTGGTGAGGTTGAAATTCGAAGTAGTTAGTATGCAAACGTGGTGCTGGAGATTCATACAAACGTACAAAGGCTTTTTGGATTGGTCATGCAATCATAGCTGTTAAGGGGAGATTTGTTGATAAGACCTACTGCAGTTTGTCATCTACTCAGGTTTTTATGCTCCTTTAGATCACCGGGATCCAAGGAACAATGTAGGATCGGTTTCACCATCAAACAACTTTATTAATTGGGTAAGTAACGCATATTATCGTTTGATAGGACTATATGAGACCCCACTTAGCCAGCCGTTGTTTCCGCCCGCTTAAAAGTCATGTCGTGTAGATCTCACCTTCAGATTTCTTTAAAAAAAGTTATTTTGTATATACTTACGAGTCACTACAGTTCAAGAATGCTCCCTGCCAAAAGCGCGCTCGGTTTAGTTCCAATCGTCATTATCATTTTATGTGCTTTGAGATATTTTCTTACCCTCGACCGTTTGACTAATTAATGGAAGCACACAGTACAGTTTGGTTATTTTAGTATGAGGGGTACCTGCAGCACATTATTCCTTCATGTTTCAATTAAAAAATTCCCAATAATTAGTCAAATTGCAGGTAGTGGTAGTGTTTACAATAACAAAATGCCTGATCTAACCACGTATATTCAGGGCACTTTTGCTAACCATCACACCAATTTCCTGCCGCGTTACTGACGAAACAAGTTAGGCGGTAAACCCTCAGTGTAACTAAAGGGTGCCCTCAAGGTGGTTCCGTGACTCGACAGCAAACGCGCCACATGTATAACCATACTAGTTTGTTACAGTCCTCTGTCACTCCGTCGTTAGCATACTTAAATCCGATGATACCAACACAAGAGAGGCGTTTACGTAGGATCAAGTTTTTGTGGGACAACAGGGTCTGCCTCTGATGTCCAAAGCTACTTTCGTAGATTACAAACTGAATGTGTTCATTGATCAGATGGAGAATTTGGCACTTGCAGTCAGTAGAGGGCCCGTCTATTTTTTTGCAAGCTAAGTCCCTTATTGATGCACTGAGAGCTTTACTGTTCAGACTCTGCGTGTCGCTGTTTCCACCTTTGTGTCTTTGTTTTTATTTATAATCGTTTGTTTGCCATTTCTGGGCTGAGGTGTAGTATGTTCCCAACAACCTATAGTAAGGAAGATATCATGGCATATACTTTTGAGTCGTTTGCAGTACTGCTCATATTGTAAGTCGTTCCGACCGAAACTTTGATCATTTTGAAGAGGAAGGAGTTCTTCCCTTCATAAATTGTCTTAATGCCGTCACTTCCGATAGCTTGAATTCCGGCAAGTGGCGTCGTTTGGAATTTGTGGTTAAATTCTCCTTGTAACGGTTCAAACTGAGTGTAGGGCGGCTACGTTATTAACTACGCCAGTTGGCCTTTTCTTTGCTGAAGAACAGAAGGCCTCTTACAAGGTTCCATCTCCGAAGACCAAGGAAACAATAAAAATAAGCAATCTTTATGGCCTCTGTTAGCCAACCACTCTCCGATGTGGTCTATCTAGAAATGTGTTCGCATGCTACGTAAGCACCTGTTTAATCTCGTTTCTTGAGCTGTGTCGGTAGCGCCAGTTATCCACTAGTTTCCGGTCTGCCTCACTGTTGGTTCCCACGGTTGCCCTCAACGTCGAATTCTTGGTCTATCCCCAAAGTGTGCACACCCTGGCTTATTTGGTCATTCGTTTACTGAAATTCCGTCGGCGATCGCGTTGGCCAGTCAGACCAACAGATGGCAATATTCAACCGTCTCAGTCTGGTAGCACAGGGCGATCAATACTGTATCCCCCCCCTCAATGTCAAGGGTAAAACCTGCACGAATAAACTTACCTCATCGGTAGGGTATTGCTCATGTTTTTCACTACTTCCATAGTATCTAAAACCGACCAGCACATACTTGTGTATTCACTTGGTACGCACTCGTAAAGTCGATGGGTTTCGTCTGGTATTTACCTACAACCGACAACAACTGTTCGTCATTGTGTTAGTTTGCAGACTAACCTCTGACATACACTATGCATCCCAACCTCCTCCGCCTAGACCTGCAACCCCTCTGCTTAATTCACTTTTGGTCTTTTCCTAAATATTCCGGTTGTAAACTTGATTTATGCTACCATTTAGAGCTGATTTTGGTTTTAAAAATACCGACTATTAGCCTCCTACGCTTGCGTCGATGGTTATGCAGCTTCACCAGCCAATCGCATGACCACGTGTTGTAGGCGGCATATCTCATGAAACATTAACTGCGATTCTGAAAGGCAGTTTCTACTAGAAGGGTTAACTTAAGTTGGGTTGTAATATTGTCATACGACATAATTCCGATATGTTTCAATCCCACTAGGATGCAGAGACAAAGCTCGATTAGGAATGATTCATTTAGTAGTGTGATATATTTCAATTGATTTTCAGCGTCCTTTTAACATAATTTATAAAAAAATCTCGTACTCATTCTACAGTAAATTACATCTTCATTTTTTTTAGCGAAGTATGGACAACATTCAGTTTAAAAAAGTTGCGCGTATGAGATTCTTGAAGAGGGAGTCCGATAATTACTGCTCCTTACGCAGTGCAGTGTGTTTCATATCCACTGCAAGATTTTATGATCTACATATGAGGCCTTCTATTAGCATAGAGAAATGCATGCTTTTCCTCGAATGAAAAGTGTACATCTGGTGTAGTTTAGAAATCCTAAACGCAAATGAAATGACAGGTCGTGTTCAGAACTATTCGTAGAATACTCCCTTCCCTAGATACTTTCTTACTTGATACGGCTGTGCTCATGCCTGATGTATCCGGCCTCATTGATGTCACTGACGATGCCTCTTCACGCGATTAACGGCAGTGGTGGGTACTAAAACCCCACTTTTATACAAAGAGAGAATACCTTCAGGTTTATTTTCCTTAAGTGCACCGAAAACAAATGAAAGAACATGGTAAGTAAGCGGTTCGCTCTTTGAAGATGTCCAGAAAGCAGCACATAAAAAGCTAGTATCTTGTGGTCACTGACTTGTGTTGGGATTTGGCTGCACAGTAACCAATAATAAAAACCACATCTAAATAATGCTTCTTGATAGAAGGTACACTTCGGAATCACAGTTAACATTTCATGAAATATGCTACCTACTACTGTGTATAGTTTTTAGAGGGGTGTTCGGTATTCTTTCGTCATAAACCTGTTGGGATGTCGTCTGTCAACGCACACTGTTTCTGTAGGTAGTTTTATTGGAGGCAACCCGTATTACCGATCTATAAAGCATTACCGCTTGAGTGCAAGCATTGCAAACTCTGCTCTTCGCGATAGTCAAGTCAGCAGGGATTGTCCCAGCTAGTACTGCACTGTGACCAGTTACTCCACTAACGGTAGTCAGTAGTTATATCTGTTCCTTCTGATACTGTACTGTTTAGTAATGAGATTGAGGCCATTCCACCTCAATCTTGCTTTTGGGGCGGACGCACTGATGACATAGACATCTTTTCTTGCATATCCCGCTTCAGTGCCTTGTTGTCAACTAGCAACATTGTGATTAGGCTTGCACTCCGCTTAGTCGTCAAACCGATTTCTCGGTGTTCATTTGCGACAATCGTTGGTTATTTTGACGGAGGTGGGCTCATAGGCGGTCATTACTTACTCTGAACAGAAGGTAGCATAAGGAATTTACCAATTTGGTTGACCTGTTGGACCACCCAACTTGTGTTTGGGTAGTGCTGCTGTCTAACGTCCACGTAACCAAATAATCTAAACTAATTCCTCACTAAGCGCCGTAATAACAAAGGTTCGGTGACATTCGCACGGTCACTACAACTGCATATTTGTGTAGAGTGGCAGGGTTTGTCTGATAGACGCTACTGTGCGACCCAGGGGAACAGTTACTTATTAAATACTTACGAATTTGGTAAAGATGACTGATAAGCCCGGCTCTCCACCAACAAGACGCGTGAATAGGAACGTCTCACCCAAGTAATAAAGATAACCCTGCGTATAATTCCGGAAAGGGTAAATATTCCCGTCTCCTAGCTTCGGCATTACCCCTAACCACATAGTGAACAATAACTGCAACCTTAACCCTAACCATAGAGCTAGCTCCATTTCCCCTGGACTTTGCGCACAAAAATCCACCCTTATTGCGTGCGGTTCCTATTATCATGTCCTGTTTTGTGGGCTATATAAGTCATCTTTAACGCTAATTTAATCCGTGGTCACTTGTAGAAGCTTAGTTTACTATTTACCTGCTTCTACTTCTCATTTCTAAGCTATGTATAAAGTTCATAACCACAGAAAAAATTGAGGGCATTTGGATTTGAACCCATTTCATGGGACTGCACAGTAATCTCCATCAACAAAGTACGTTTCAGCCGAAAGTCCAGGATACCGCTCCACACTTCTGGTAGTATTAAAGAGCCCCATTGAGCAGCCACTCCTAGCTTGCGCTCATTGTGTCTTATAAGACTACTGAAAAATAAAGGAATTGGTTGGTGGTCGCATTCTGCACATATTACTGGTGGCTATGCAACTGCTTACGGAGCTGTAGATTGGGCGCCAAGACACAAAAGGCCTAGTAGGTC